CACAGAGTTACAGAGGCTGACCTGATCAGAGCAGTGCCTTGTTTAGAGTGGAGGAGCGGTTAGATTCCAGTGCAGCAGTCTTAGTAGTGCTTAAATACTGGTAGTTAAATACTAGTAGCAGTGAGTGGAAATAGATGATAATGATCTCCCTTTCTTTATCATGAAGTCAAGGTGGATTTTCAAAATCAGATTTCTTCCCTGTCTTGACTTTGAGATTCTCTTCCACTATTACGTGATGATAGCCTATGCAGAAACTTACTGGTAGTTTTTTAAAATGACTTCATTTACATAGATGAAATGGAATTTGGGCCTGTCAAGTTCCTACTGTCTTGTTTTCTTTACTAAGATTTCCCACCTTTATGTTGTTGGGTTTAGATATGTATTGAAATGTATCATCTGCATTTGGAGTTATGTTTATGGCATTTCTTTGACATAATGGTGTGTAAAGATGGTCTAGATTCTAAAAGCACCATTATTTTAAGATAGAAAATAATTTCTGAGACCATCTGTGAAAATGCTGACAATTCTGGCCTTTTCTAAGAATGGATTTAATTATATTCTAGCACAACAACTGCTCTGGGGATGCTCAGGTAGGATACTGTCGTGTTCATTTGAAGCCTGCTGTTTTGTGTATTTGGTTTTTTGAATCTTGTTTTTCCATTTATGCAGTAGCTAGAGATTATGTTAACATTTTTTTTTTTTCTAATAGCAATAACTATTAAAGGAGAGAGGAAAAGATACTAATATAGGAATTGTTATAAATACTACAATTAAACTATGTCTGATAGCTTAGAAACATTCATAGAGCATTTCATCTTAAATGAAACCATTTTGCTATCATTTGTATGTTAGGCTGTGGGATGAATGGGAAAATGTCATATGGACACAACTTTGTTATGAGGTACACATACATTTAAGAAGATAGAAGAGAAACATCTCTGGGCTCCAAGACCTCTTGGGTGACATTTTGTAGTCTGCCTTACTGTACGATGTGGCTGGTGACAGAGGATCCCAGCGCTTGCCTATTGAAGACACATCAGTCACAAGGGGGCCAGCAGGTTATGCTTACAAGGCCTGGTGCCATTGGACCAACTACCATCTTAATTTAGTTTTTTAAATGAACTGTTTTTGACTTTGACTCAACTGCAATTACTTACCCATGTTCCAGTGTCACTTAGAAAGTTAAAAGGTGGTGAGATGTCACCATGAAATTATTTGATGATGATGATTATTTTTGGAGTCAAATCAGTTCTTTGCAGCAGGCTATATACCTGCATTAAAGTTAACTTAGAAACCAACTCATTCTCATATCATTATAATAACAGTTTATATAAATGTTCCACTCATTTCAAGCTTACAGTAAAAGTAGGCTATCATGCACAGCTAAAATTACTATATTTTTTAACAGCTTGGCCGACATTTCTTCGATTTCATAAGGTGTACTTAAAGAGTAACTTAAGTAGGTGGCGTGAACAGCACCTGTACTGGGGTGATCCGAGTCACCTCAGTTATTTCTCTGAGAGTTAGTGAGGCTCCTGTTCAGGTTGACAAGTGGATGGGAAGCAGCATGCCAGTGCTGGTTCCTGGGGACGTTGGTCGTGGGCACTGTTGTTGGCTAACACGTGAGAGTGCAGCCCTAGAGCAGGGGCTGCCAGTGCCTGGTGCCCGCTGCCACCTCATGGAGCTCATAAGCAGAGCCTCACTAGGGAGCACGTGTCTCCTCTCCTTCTCTGGAGGATTTCATTCACTGACCCCAGGACCCCAGTTATCGGGGGTTCCCTTTAGTTACATGCATTTTTTTTTTAAACAAAGTTTGAGTATCTCTATACAGGGAGATGTCGTTAGAACTCGTCAGCCATCAGCACTGCCACTTACTTTCATTGGGCAAGGAAAGTGGGGAAAAGCCACAAGGAGCTTGCTCACAGCCTTGCTCCATTGCCGCGGCCTGGTGGTGCTACTTCAGCAGTCTGGTCAAGCATAGTAAACGCTCAGTTAAGTAATTCAGGCATTCCGACTTCTTGGTTAAGTAACTTCTTAAATAGCTAAATCAGACTGTAGGATCCTGTTTCCATCCCTGTTGAAAGTCTTCCTCCAGCTTCATGCTAACACGGTACTGCTTGGAGCAGCCATCATTCACCGGACTGAGGTTACTGCTTCAACATAAAGGGACAGAGCTGATGACAGTACACCGCAGCCTTCTCTTCAAAGTTCTTTCTAAATTCAATGCTAATATTTGATCCTAGTTTAGATGAAACCTGCCTCTCGCCAGAAACAGTTTCAGGACGGTAACTCACCTCCTTCCATAGTGCTGATAATTCTAAAGGGTAGGTAACAAAAACACAGAATCATTCATTGGAATTAGTTTGCTGAGCCTGTTAGAGGTGCTTGACAATGTCAGTGGCTTTCTAACCTAGGAGTGAAGAACGTTTTTTTAAACATTTATACTTTAGGTAAAAGTTCAGTGGCTTAAGTACAAAACAAAGTAGAAATCAGGACTTCAAATTACATAGACTCACGCATGGAGAATTATGTCTTCCTCCATTTTCTCTCTCCTTTAGTTTTTGATCATGTTTCCTTAGTTGTGCATGACTGCTGTGTCAGCTGCATGCTGTCTGTGGTGTGTGTGTGTGTGTGTATGTGTCGTGGGCTTATTATTTCTGCATCAGTATTAGGTAATGCATTAGATAATATGAGGTCTAGAAAGTAGGTATGGGTTTAATCAGTTGCCAAGCTTCATGCAGGGTTATCAGGTGGGAGATCTCCACAATGCATGCATGTCATGTGACAGTTCTTAACATAAAGTTGGGGTGCATATTTCATCATTGGTTTTCTGACTGCTCTGCTTTTTTAATTTCTAACCTGTTTTCTGTCCTTAGTGTATCTCAGCCTTACTGATGATTTAGATACTCTGTTATAGTTAATTCAATTCCATAAGCATGTTTTAAGACCACTGTTAGTCTTAAAAAATTTAATAATAAAAATTATGTTTTACTGTGCCTCGTAGACTGAGGAGGCTGTTACTAGTCAGACAGCTGACAAGACTTTAGAATTTCTTAAGCATTACTTAAAAGCTTACCCTAGAGGAGCCCTGGTGGTACAGTGGCTAAGTGCTTGGCTGCTAACTGAAGGAAAGGTTGGCGGTTTGAGCCCACCAGCCGCTCTGTGAGAGAAAGATGTGGCAGGCTGCTTCCATACAGGGTATGGCCTTGGAAACCCTATGGGGCAATTCTGCTCAGTCCTCTCGGGGCACCATGGATTGGAATCATCCTGATGGCAATGGGTTTGGTTTTGGTTTTTGGTGTAGCTTACCATGTATTGCACAATACAGAAAGTGAAAATACTCAGAATTTGGTTTTGACACTGTCCTAAAGTCATAAAAGGGCATCCTTGCTTAAATTGCTATTTCAGTGATCTGAAAAATGTCTAATTCTAACATGCAAGATAATTTTCTTGGTGAAAGGTAAAAGGATCTTTCTGATGTGTCAGACTCTGACATGAGGGTGTCCTTTCTTGGTATAATAATGATATAAAAACATTTTTCAGGGACCAAGGTCCCCCATTTATGTTTTCCAAAGTTACTTTATTAAGAGTCTAGAAATTAAATTCATTTTAGGAGAAAATTGTATGTTAGTTTTCCACAAGACTGAATTTAATTCATGATACTTTTCATTCATCTACATGGCAAATACATAATTTCACTTTTTCATTTTGTTTCTACTGACATAAATGCTGAGAAAGACAAATGCACTGAGAAATTAAAAAATTGTACTAGACCAGTGGTTTAAAAAATCAGCAAAAAAACTTTTTCTCCAAACAAAATCTTGTTTGTCTCCCTAATTTATAAAACGTACAGAGGTGGAGCGGCTCTGGTTAGCGGATGATCCCTGCTTTTGTGAAAATGCCCGCTTGTTCCCTTTTCCCATCAGAGCATTTCTGCAAAATCCTGGGGTTCTGAAAACCACAGTTTAATAGCTGTGTTTAATACCAGGTGAAAGCTCCTGGTATTTACAATGTAAATGTGGTACAGATTTAGGCATGTATGTAGAGCAGTCTATCGACTTCACCTCCATTCTTTTTCCAGATGGGAGAATTCCAGTCCAGAGGGATTAAATGACACATAAATTACACATCTGTTTAATGACTGAAATTGTACATCTGTTTAATAATTGAAAGTACACTCCATCAGTCTTCTTACTGCATCAGCTTCAGGAAGTACTGAGACTCAGAACCCAAACCTCTGCCTTTAAACCAGAGTCCTTTGCACCACATAACCTGCAACTTCTTGAAACATTAAGAAATAACATAGTGTCGTTATAGGCAATTTATACTGCATTTGCTTATACATTATTTACCCTTAAAAATACACGTATAAACACTGTATCTACTATTTTTTTTTTTTTGGTGCCTTTGTTTGTGGACAAATAGGCACTAAAAGTTATTTCCCATGTCGACTCCATTTGCAGAGTACCATAAGATAAGGCACATTTAAATGTACTTCATACCTTTCTTTTAAATAAATATTTTCTAGGAAGGATTGTTGTTAGGTGCTGTCGAGTCAGCCCCGACTCATAACAACCTGACATATGACAGAATGAAACACTGCCTGCTGCACCATCCTCACAACCCTTTCTATACTTGTGCCCATCATTGCAGCCACTGTGTCAGTCCATCTCATTGAGGGCTCTCCACTTTTCTGCTGACCCTCCACTTTACCAAGCATGATACCCTTCTCCAGGGACTGGTCCCTTCTGACAACAGGACCAAAGTAGGTGATGAAGGGTTATTTCTACCTTATTCTAAATAGGGATTTATGTTTGAACTCTCTATCAAGATTATTTAAAATTTGGTTAGCTTGTGTGCGCTGAATTTTTGCATTTTTGTTCAGTGTACTTACAACTCTGACAGTGCCTTGTTAGTACTATCTAATCTTTGAGAATAGAAAATGAACTAGTTGCAGTGGGATTATGGGTGTTTAACACATCTCTGTGTGTGATTTGCAGGAAGACCCTGTACTCAACTGCAGCTTCTGAATCCAGAACGATTTGCACGTCTTATCAAAGAAGTGATGAATACATTCTGGCCTGGCAGAGACCTGCTTGTTCAGTGGTACCCACTGAATGAAGAGAGAAATCACCCACCTGTTTCATGGCTAAAGATGGTGTGGAAGAATCTCTATATACACTTTGCAGAAGACTTGACTTTATTTGATGAGATGCCACTTATCCCCAGAATGGCCCTAGAAGAAGGTCAAACGTGTTTGGAACTCATTAGACTCAGGATTCCATCAGTAGTCATTTTAGAAGATGAACCTGAAGCACAACTTCCAGAATTCTTGGCGGACATTGTACAGAAACTTGGAGGAATCGTCCTTAAAAAGCTAGATGCCTCTATCCAGCATCCACTCATGAAAAGGTACATTCATTCACCGTTACCGAGCGCTGTTCTACAGATCATGGAAAGGATGCCGCTGCAGAAGCTATGTAACCAAATCGCTTCGCTACTTCCAACGCACAAAGATGCCCTGAGGAAGTTCTTGGCTAGTTTAACTGAAAGCAGTGAAAGGGAGAGAAGAATAATTCAGGAATTGCCAGTATTCAAGAGGATTAACCATTCGTCTGATCAGGGCATTTCTTCTTACACAAAATTGAAAGGCTGTAAAGTCTTGCATCATACCGCAAGGCTTCCGCCTAACCTGCGACTTTCTATTTCTGTAATAGACAGTAGTGATGAGGCTACGATTCGCTTGGCAAACATGCTGAAAATTGAGAAGCTGAAGACCACTAGCTGTCTAAAGCTTGTTTTAAAAGACTCTGAAAATGCATTTTATTCACATGAAGAGGTAAATCAGCTTATGTTATGGATTCTTGAGAATCTATCCTCCCTTAAGAAGGAGAATGCAAATGTGATTGACTGGTTAATGCCATTGAAATTCATTCAGATTTCACAGGAAAGGATGGTGTCAGCCAGTGAACTCTTTGATCCTGACATAGAAGTCCTACAGGATCTCTTTTATAATGAAGAAGAAATCTGTTTCCCACCTTCCATTTTTACCTCACCAGATATTCTTCACTCATTGAGGCAGATTGGCTTAAAAAATGAAGCCAATCTCAAAGAGAAAGACATCGTGCAAGTGGCAAAAAAAATTGAAGCCTTACAGGCCAGTTCTTGTCCAAATCAAGATGCTCTTTTAAAGAAAGCCAAGACACTCTTACTGGTTTTAAATAAGAACCATATGCTGTTGCATTCTTCTGAAGGAAGAATGACATTGAAGAAAATAAAATGGGTGCCAGCCTGCAAGGAAAGGCCTCCCAATTATCCAGGGTCTTTAGTGTGGAAAGGAGATCTCTGTAATCTTTGTGCTCCACCAGATATGTGTGACGTAGCTCATGCAATTCTCGTTGGCTCATCAGTCCCTCTTGTGGAAAGTATCCATGTACACTTGGAAAAAGCATTGGGCATTTTCACAAAACCTAGCATCAGTGCTGTCTTAAAACACTTCAAAATTGTTGTGGATTGGTACACTTCAAAAACCTTTAGTGACGAAGACTATTATCAGTTCCAGCATATTTTGCTTGAAATTTATGGATTCATGCATGATCATTTAGATGAAGGCAAAGATTCTTTTAGGGCCTTAAAATTTCCATGGGTCTGGACTGGCAAAAAATTTTGTCCCCTCGCCCAAGCAGTTATAAAACCCATCCATGATCTGGACCTTCAGCCCTATTTGCATAGTGTGCCTAAAACCATGGCAAAGTTCCACCAGTTGTTTAAAGTCTGTGGGTCTATAGAGGAGTTGACCTCAGATCATATTTCCATGGTCATTCAGAAGATCTATCTCAAAAGTGATCAAGAGCTCAGTGAGCAAGAAAGCAAACAAAATCTTCATCTTATGTTGAATATTATCAGATGGCTATACAGCAGTCAGATTCCAGCAAGCCCCAATACTCCAGTTCCCATACATCATAGCAAGAGTCCTTCTAAACTCATCATGAAGCCAATTCATGAATGTTGCTACTGTGACATCAAAGTTGATGACCTTAATGACTTACTGGAAGACTCAGTGGAGCCCATCATCTTGGTGCATGAGGACATACCCATGAAAACTGCCGAATGGTTGAAAGTTCCCTGCCTTAGTACAAGGCTCATCAATCCTGAAAACATGGGATTTGAGCAGTCAGGACAAAGAGAACCACTTACTGTGAGAATAAAGAATATTTTGGAAGAGTACCCTTCCGTGTCAGATATTTTTAAAGAACTGCTTCAAAATGCTGATGATGCAAATGCAACAGAGTGCAGCTTCATGATTGACATGAGGAGAAATATGGACATAAGGGAGAATCTTCTGGACCCAGGGATGGCAGCTTGCCATGGCCCTGCTTTGTGGTCATTCAACAATTCTGAGTTCTCAGATTCAGATTTTGTGAATATCACTAGATTAGGAGAATCTTTAAAGAGAGGAGAAGTTGACAAAGTTGGAAAATTTGGTCTGGGGTTTAATTCTGTGTACCATATCACTGACATTCCCATCATCATGAGCCGAGAATTCATGATAATGTTTGACCCCAACATAAACCATATCAATAAGCACATCAAAGATAGATCTAATCCTGGGATCAAAATTAATTGGAGTAAACAACAGAAAAGACTAAGGAAATTTCCTAATCAATTCAAACCATTTATAGATGTTTTTGGCTGTCAGTTACCTTTGACTGTAGAAGCACCTTACAGCTACAAAGGGACTCTTTTCCGACTTTCCTTTCGAACTCAACAGGAAGCTAAAGTGAGTGAAGTCAGTAGCACTTGCTACAACACAGCTGATATCTACTCCCTCGTGGATGAATTTAGTCTCTGTGGACACAGGCTTATCATTTTCACTCAGAGTGTAAACTCGATGTATTTAAAGTACTTGAAAATTGAGGAAAGCAATCCCAGCTTAGCACAAGATACAGTCGTAATTAAGAAAAAACTTTGCTCATCCAAAGCATTGACTGTGCCTGTTTTAAGTGTTTTAAGAGAAGCTGCTAAACTCATGAAGACTTGCAGCGGCAGCAATAAAAAGCTCCCCACCGATGCACCAAAGTCATCTTGCATCCTTCAGATCACAGTTGAAGAGTTCCACCACGTGTTCCGAAGGATCGCCGATCTACACTCGCCACTTTTTCGAGGTCCAGACGACGACCCAGCCACTCTCTTTGAAATGGCTAAATCTGGCCAAGCCAAGAAGCCTTCAGATGAGTTGCCACAAAAGACGATGGAGTTCACCACATGGCTCATATGTACCTGCATGGACACAGGGGAGGCTTTAAAATTTTCCTTGAGTGAAAGTGGAAGGAGACTGGGACTTGTTCCTTGTGGTGCAGTGGGAGTGCTACTCTCCGAAACCGAGGACCAGAAGTGGCTCGTGAAGTCACACAATGGAGAAGTGTTCTGCTATTTACCTTTACGGATAAAAACTGGGTTGCCAGTTCACATTAATGGGTGCTTTGCTGTTACTTCAAATCGAAAAGAAATCTGGAAGACTGATACAAAAGGACGATGGAATACCACCTTCATGAGACACGTTGTGGTGAAAGCTTACTTAGAAGCGCTCAGTGTCTTGCGGGACCTGGCAGTCAATGGGGAGCTGGCTGATTATACTTACTATGCAGTATGGCCTGATCCTGACTTAGTTCATGATGATTTTTCTGTAATTTGTCAAGGATTTTATGAAGATATAGCTCATGGGAAAGGAAAAGAACTGACCAGAGTCTTCTCTGATGGATCTATGTGGGTTTCTATGAAGAATGTGAGGTTTTTAGATGACTCTATACTTAAAAGAAAAGATGTTGGGCCTGCAGCCTTCAAGATATTTTTGAAATACCTCAAGAAGAGTGGGTCGAAAAACCTCTGTGCCGTTGAGCTTCCTTCATCAGTCAAATTAGGATTTGAAGAAGCTGGCTGCAAACAGATACTTCTTGAAAACACATTTTCGGAGAGGCAGTTTTTTTCAGAAGTGTTTTTTCCAAATATCCAAGAAATTGAAGCAGAATTTCGAGATCCCTTAATGAATTTTGTGCTTAATGAAAAGGTAGATGAGTTCTCAGGGATTCTTCGTGTTACTCCCTGCATTCCTTGCTCTTTAGAGGGGCACCCTCTGGTTTTACCATCAAGATTGATTCATCCTGAAGGACGAGTTGCAAAGTTATTTGATATTAAAGATGGGAGATTTCCTTATGGCTCGACTCAGGATTATCTTAATCCTATTATCTTGATTAAACTCGTTCAGTTAGGCATGGCGAAAGACGACATCTTGTGGGATGACATGCTAGAACGTGCAGAGTCAGTAGCTGAAATTAATAAAAGTGACCATGTTGCTGCTTGTCTAAGAAGTAGTATCCTGTTAAGTCTTATTGATGAGAAACTAAAAATCAGGGATCCTAGGGCAAAAGATTTTGCTGCAAAATATCAAACAATTCCTTTCCTTCCATTTCTAACCAAACCAGCAGGCTTTTCTTTGGAGTGGAAAGGTAACTGTTTTAAGCCTGAGACCATGTTTGCAGCTACTGACCTTTATACAGCTGAGCATCAAGATGTCATTTGTCTTTTACAACCAATACTAAATGAAAATTCCCATTCCTTCAGAGGTTGTGGTTCAGTGCCATTGGCTGTTAAAGAGTTTTTGGGGTTACTTAAGAAGCCAACCATTGACCTGGTTATAAGTCAGTTGAAAGAAGTTGCCAAGTCGGTTGATGATGGAATTACATTATACCAGGAAAATATCACCAACGCTTGCTACAAATACCTGCATGAAGCATTGATGCAAAACGAAGCCGCAAAGATAACGATTACTGAAAAGTTAAAGCTCTGTAGCTTCATTCTAGTTGAGAATGCGTATGTTGACCCAGAAAAAGTCTCTTTTCATTTGAATTTTGAAGCAGCTCCGTATCTTTATCAGTTGCCTAATAAATACAAAAATAATTTCCGGGAACTCTTTGAAAGTGTGGGTGTGAGGCAGTCATTTATGGTAGAAGATTTTGCTCTTGTGTTGGAATCTGTTGATCAAGAAAGAGGAACAAAGCAGTTGACTGAAGAGAATTTTCAGCTTTGCCGGCGAATAATTAGTGAAGGGATATGGAGCCTCATTAGAGAAAAGAAACAAGAATTTTGTGAGAAAAACTATGGCCAGATATTATTGCCAGATACTAACCTTGCTCTTCTCCCTGCCAAATCTCTATGCTACAATGATTGTCCCTGGATCAAAGTTAAAGATACCACTGTGAAATATTGTCATGCAGACATACCCAGGGAAGTAGCTGTGAAACTAGGAGCAGTACCAAAGCGGCATAAAGCATTAGAAAGATACGCGTCCAACATCTGCTTCACAACACTTGGCACTGAATTTGGACAGAAAGAAAAACTGACCAGCCGAATTAAGAGTATCCTTAATGCCTATCCTTCAGAAAAGGAAATGTTGAAAGAGCTTCTTCAAAATGCTGATGATGCAAAAGCCACAGAAATCTGCTTTGTGTTTGACCCTAGACAGCACCCGGTTGACAGGATTTTTGATGACAAATGGGCACCGTTGCAAGGGCCAGCACTGTGTGTGTACAACAATCAGCCGTTTACAGAAGATGATGTCAGAGGAATTCAGAATCTTGGGAAAGGCACCAAAGAAGGAAATCCTTGCAAAACGGGACAATATGGAATAGGATTTAACTCCGTGTACCATATCACAGATTGCCCTTCTTTCATTTCTGGCAATGACATCCTGTGCATTTTTGATCCTCATGCCCGATACGCCCCGGGAGCCACGTCAGTCAGTCCTGGGCGCATGTTTAGAGACCTGGATGCAGATTTTAGGACACAGTTCTCAGACGTTCTGGATCTTTATTTGGGGACCCACTTTAAACTGGACAATTGCACGATGTTCCGATTTCCCCTTCGTAATGCAGATATGGCAAAAGTTTCCGAGATTTCCTCAGTGCCATCGTCAGACAGGATGGTCCAGAATCTTTTGGACAAATTGCGCTCAGATGGGGCAGAACTTCTAATGTTTCTTAATCACATGGAAAAGATTTCCATCTGTGAAATAGATAAAGCTACTGGAGCTCTAAATGTGTTGTATTCAGTAAGGGGCAAAATCACCGATGGAGACAGATTAAAAAGGAAACAATTTCATGCATCTGTGATCGACAGTGTCACTAAAAAGAGGCAGCTCAAAGAAATACCAGTTCAACAAATAACTTATACTATGGATACTGAGGACTCTGAGGGCAATCTCACTACATGGCTGATATGTAATAGATCGGGTTTTTCAAGTATGGAAAAGGTATCCAAGAGTGTTATATCCGCTCACAAGAACCAAGATATTACTCTCTTCCCACGTGGTGGAGTTGCTGCCTGCATCACTCACAACTATAAAAAACCCCATCGAGCCTTCTGCTTCCTGCCCCTCTCTTTGGAGACAGGGCTGCCATTTCATGTGAATGGCCACTTTGCTCTAGATTCAGCCAGAAGGAATCTGTGGCGGGATGATAATGGAGTCGGTGTTCGAAGTGATTGGAATAACAGCTTAATGACAGCATTAATCGCTCCTGCATATGTTGAGTTGCTCATCCAGTTAAAAAAACGGTACTTCCCTGGCTCTGACCCAACCATGTCAGTTCTACAGAACACGCCCATTCATGTTGTCAAGGATACCTTAAAAAAGTTTTTATCCTTTTTCCCAGTCAACAGGCTTGATCTCCAGCCAGATTTGTACTGCCTAGTGAAGGCACTGTATAGCTGCATTCATGAAAACATGAAACGTCTTTTACCTGTTGTGCGGGCTCCAAATATCGATGGCTCTGATTTACATTCTGCAGTTATAATTACTTGGATTAATATGTCTACTTCAAATAAAACTAGACCATTTTTTGACAATTTACTGCAGGATGAATTACAACACCTCAAAAATGCAGATTATAATATCACAACCCGCAAAACCGTAGCGGAGAATGTCTATAGACTAAAGCATCTGCTTTTGGAAATTGGTTTCAACTTGGTTTATAACTGTGATGAAACTGCAAATCTTTACCACTGCCTTATTGATGCAGATATTCCTGTTAGTTATGTAACTCCTGCTGATGTCCGATCTTTTTTAATGACATTCTCCTCTCCTGATACAAATTGCCATATTGGGAAGCTGCCTTGTCGTCTTCAACAGACTAACCTTAAACTTTTCCATAGTTTGAAACTTTTGGTTGATTATTGTTTTAAGGATGCAGAAGAAAATGAGATTGAAGTGGAGGGTCTGCCTCTCCTCATTACGCTGGACAGTGTATTACAAACTTTTGATGCGAAACGACCCAAGTTTCTAACAACTTACCATGAATTGATTCCATCCCGCAAAGACTTGTTTATGAATACATTATATTTGAAATATAGTACTATTTTATTGAACTGTAATGTTGCAAAAGTGTTTGACATCTCCAGCTTTGCTGATTTGTTATCCTCCGTACTGCCTCGTGAATATAAGACCAAAAACTGTACACGATGGAAAGACAGTTTTGCAAGTGAGTCTTGGCTAAAGAATACATGGCATTTCATCAGCGAATCTGTAAGTGTGAAAGAAGACCAGGAAGAAACAAAACCAACATTTGAGATTGTTGTTGATACCCTAAAAGACTGGGCATTGCTTCCGGGCACAAAATTTACTGTTTCAGCTAATCAGCTCGTGGTTCCTGAAGGTGACGTTCTGCTTCCTCTAAGCCTTATGCATATAGCAGTTTTTCCAAATGCTCAGACCGATAAAGTTTTTCATGCCCTAATGAAAGCTGGCTGTATTCAGCTTGCTTTGAACAAAATCTGCTCCAAAGACAGTGCATTTGTTCCCCTGTTGTCATGTCACACAGCAAACATAGAGAGCCCCTCAAGCATTTTGAAGGCTGTACATTACATGGTCCAGACATCAACATTTAGAACTGAAAAATTAGTAGAAAATGACTTTGAGGCACTTTTGATGTATTTCAACTGTAATTTGAGTCACTTGATGTCTGAAGATGACATTAAAATTTTAAAGTCACTTCCATGTTACAAATCCATCAGTGGGCGATACATGAGTATTGCAAAATTTGGAACATGCTATGTACTTACAAAAAGCATCCCTTCAGCTGAAGTGGAAAAATGGACACAATCATCATCGTCTGCATTCCTTGAAGAAAAAATACACTTGAAAGAACTCTATGAGATGGTTGGTTGTGTACCTGTAAATGATCTTGAGGTATATTTGAAGCACCTCTTACCAAAAATTGAAAATCTTTCTTATGATGCAAAATTGGAGCACTTGATCTATCTTAAGAATAGATTATCTAGTATTGAGGAAATATCAGAGATTAAGGAACAACTTTTTGAAAAACTGGAAAGTTTGTTGATAATTCATGATGCCAACAGTCGACTAAAGCAGGCCAAACATTTCTATGATAGAACTGTGAGAGTTTTTGAAGTTATGCTTCCTGAAAAATTGTTTATTCCTAAGGATTTCTTTAAAAAATTAGAACAACTCATAAAACCCAAAAATCAAAGTGCGTTTATGACATCTTGGGTGGAATTCTTAAGAAATATTGGACTAAAATACATACTTTCTCAGCAGCAGTTGCTACAGTTTGCTAAGGAGATCAGTGTGAGAGCTAATACAGAAAACTGGTCTAAAGAAACATTGCAAAATACAGTTGATATCCTCCTCCATCATATATTCCAAGAACGAATGGATTTGTTATCTGGAAATTTTCTGAAAGAACTGTCATTGATACCATTCTTATGTCCTGAGCGGGCCCCTGCTGAATTCATTAGATTTCATCCTCAGTATCAAGAGGTAAATGGGACACTTCCTCTTATAAAGTTCAATGGAGCACAAGTAAACCCTAAATTCAAGCAGTGCGATGTGGTACAGCTGTTATGGACATCCTGCCCTATTCTTCCCGAGAAAGCCACCCCCTTGGGTATCAAAGAACAAGAAGGTAGTGACCTTGGTCCGCAAGAACAGCTTGAACAAGTTTTAAGTATGCTCAATGTTAACTTGGACCCTCCTCTTGATAAAGTCATTAATAACTGCAGAAACATATGCAACATTACAACTTTGGATGAAGAAATGGTAAAAACTAGAGCTAAAGTCTTAAGGAGCATATATGAATTTCTCAGTGCAGAGAAAAGGGAGTTCCGAATTCAACTGCGGGGGGTTGCATTTGTGATGGTAGAAGATGGTTGGAAACTTTTGAAGCCTGAGGAGGTAGTGATAAATCTAGAATATGAATCTGATTTTAAACCATATTTGTACAAGCTGCCTTTAGAACTTGGCACATTCCATCAGCTGTTCAAACATCTAGGCACTGAAGATGTCATTTCAACCAAGCAATACGTCGAAGTATTGAGCCGCATATTTAAAAATTCTGAGGGGAAGCAGTTAGACCCTAATGAAATGCGGACAGTGAAGAGAGTGGTTTCTGGCCTGTTCAGGAGTCTACAGAATGATTCAGTCAAGGTTAGAAGTGATCTTGAGAATGTACGAGACCTTGCCCTTCACCTTCCAAGCCAGGATGGTCGATTGGTAAAGTCGAACATCTTAGTGTTCGATGATGCACCTCATTATAAAAGTAGAATCCAGGGTAATATTGGTGTTCAGATGTTGGTTGATCTTAGCCAGTGTTACTTGGGGAAAGACCATGGATTTCACACAAAGTTGATAATGCTCTTCCCGCAAAAACTGAGGCCTCGTTTGTTGAGCAGCATCCTTGAAGAGCAGTTAGATGAAGAGACCCCCAAAGTCTGTCAGTTTGGAGCCTTGTGTTCTCTCCAGGGAAGATTGCAGTTGCTCCTGTCTTCTGAGCAGTTCATCACAGGGCTCATCCGGATCATGAAGCATGAGAATGACAATGCTTTCCTGGCCAACGAGGAAAAAGCCATAAGACTTTGCAAGGCCCTGAGAGAAGGACTGAAAGTTTCCTGTTTTGAGAAACTCCAAACAACATTAAGAGTTAAAGGTTTCAATCCAATTCCCCACAGCAGAAGTGAAACATTTGCTTTTTTGAAGAGATTTGGCAATGCAGTCATTCTGCTCTACATACAACATTCGGACAGTAAAGACATTAATTTCCTACTAGCATTAGCAATGACCCTGAAGTCAGCAACTGACAATTTGATTTCGGACACTTCATATTTAATTGCTATGCTAGGATGCAATGATATTTATAGGATCAGTGAGAAACTTGACAGTTTAGGAGTGAAATACGACTCTTCAGAACCTTCAAAACTTGAACTTCCTACGCCTGGCACGCCTATACCTGCTGAAATTCATTATACTCTGCTTATGGATCCAATGAATGTTTTTTACCCCGGAGAATATGTTGGATACCTTGTTGATGCAGAAGGTGGTGATATCTACGGATCATACCAGCCCACGTACACATATGCAATCATTGTACAAGAAGTTGAGAGAGAAGATGCAGACAACTCTAGTTTCCTAGGCAAGATATATCAGATTGATATTGGTTACAGTGAATATAAAATTGTTAGCTCTCTCGACCTGTATAAGTTTTCCAGGCCTGATGAAAGTTCTCACAGCAGGGACAGCGCCCCCTCTACACCCACCAGCCCCACAGAGTTTCTTGCCCCAGGACTGCGGAGCATTCCTCCTCTTTTCTCTGGCAGAGAGAGCCACAAAATCTCATCTTCAAAACATCATTCCCCCAAAAAGCTGAAGGTTCACTCCTTACCAGAAATCCTAAAAGAGGTGACATCCGTGGTGGAACAAGCTTGGAAGCTTCCAGAATCAGAAAGAAAAAAGATCATCCGACGGTTGTATCTGAAGTGGCACCCTGACAAAAATCCCGAGAACCATGATATTGCCAATGAAGTTTTCAAGCATTTGCAGAATGAAATCAACAGGATGGAGAAACAGGCTTTTCTAGATCAAAATGCGGACCGTGCCTCCAGGCGCACCTTTCCCACTTCAGCATCCCGATTTCAGTCGGAGAAGTACTCATTCCAGAGATTTTATACTTCGTGGAATCAAGAAGCAACGAGCCATAAATCAGAAAGGCAGCAACAGAATAAAGAGAAATGTCCCCCTGCAGCTGGACAGACTTACTCCCAAAGGTTCTTCGTCCCTCCCACTTTCAAGTCCGTTGGTAACCCCGTGGAAGCTCGCAGATGGTTAAGACAAGCGAGAGCAAATTTCTCAGCTGCCAGAAATGACCTTCACAAAAATGCTAACGAGTGGGTGTGCTTCAAATGTTACCTTTCTACCAAGTTAGCTCTGATTGCGGCTGACTACGCTGTAAGGGGAAAGTCTGATAAAGACGTGAAGCCAACTGCTCTTGCACAGAAAATAGAGGAGTACAGTCAGCAGCTCGAAGGACTGACAAATGACGTCCATACATTGGAAGCTTACGGGGTAGACAGCCTCAAAACTCGATACCCTGACTTGCTCCCTTTCCCACAGATCCCAAACGACAGGTTCACGTCCGAGGTCGCCATGAGGGTGATGGAATGCGCTGCTTGCATTATCATAAAACTTGAGAATTTCATACAACAGAAAGTGTGAGGCACTGAGCAGAGGAGCAGAGATGGATCTTCAGCGTGTTGGAGCACAAACAGGAATTGCTGCATCTCATTAAGCTTCCCTGCCGTATATGTAAGAACTGTGAAGCACATCATAGATTGTTCTGGAAGGGTTTTGTGCTTATTAATCTGGATAGCAGCAGAGACCCTTAGCTGGATGTGAAAGGAAGTTAATTTGAGGAATGTGATGAAGTGAAAGACTGCTAGATGTGTTGAATGGCTTGGATGGCACATTACTGAATTGCACTTTACATAACCAAAGCTTAGCAGTTTCTTAGGTAAGAGTCTATGTACGTCTCTGGTTAGGATGCAGCTAACTTTGTGTGTGAAATGCCGTTTTTGAAGGAGCTAATGAAACACTGGACATATCATTGATTGACTTGGGGGGATTTTATGTCTTTGGAGTTTATCTTTGTTGTTTTTTTTTTTTTCAAAGTGGAGCCTCTTCTGGAGGCCTTGTTTTCTTATCAGCTGGATCTGATTATGAATTTGTTGCAATTTTACATCTTAAATACTCAGTATATTTAAAAAATGGTACGGTGTTTGACTCCTGAATATTACTTGAGTAAGCGTATGCAGACAGTACTTCTCAGAGTGCACTGAGTGCACTTTACGTCTTTATTTGAAAGGTTTTTTACAACTTATGTTTACAGGCTTCCCATTTTGTGGTGATAGTATATAGGAAACTCAAAATGGTGGCAGTTCATACGACCAGATGTTAATATTGTTTCTGAAAACTGCTCGCCAAACCAACACCCAACAGCTGTCGCACACTTGCTTCGTGTTGGTTGCTTCATTTTCCACAAGTGTCCTAATTTACGTCGCGCAGTTGAATAGATGCCAATCTTGTGTTTCATTGTTGTCATAACAACAATATAATATTGTTTTGTTGTCTTAAGGTGCTGCAGTTAAAAAAAAAAACTTTCAGTATGGCAGTCGGTGGGGTTTTTTGGATTTTACTTTTAAAATGTTAAGAAATTGTAAAATATTAGTGACAGTTATCCAGTTGTTTTAAAAGAGGAATTAATTATGAGCTGGCATTTTCCCTATGAATGTTTCAGAACTGACGTTTCATTTTCATCATGCTCAAATGTTCGACCGTGCTTACTTACATTAACGTATTTCTCTTGCAGCGTGTAAAAGAAAGATAGATATGATAATTAGTCTTATCTAAGTGTACTGGCTGTAAATGATGCTAAATACAATATTTTATGCAATTAAGGGCTTAAGGAATATGTTAAAACTTTTTTACTTTTGTTGGTGATAAGGAATGTTTGCACCTCCAACATTGTATTGCTTCTGACTGTGAAGCCATGTAATTATTTCTGCTGTTATATTAATGCCATAATTTTAATAAAGTAAAATGTACATACAAAGTCACTGTAATTAGTATTTCCTGAGAAATCGTTCATTGGAAATGAAACTTGGTATCTCCCTGTATTAGGGTTTGATGTATACATATGTGTGAATGTGCGTGTTTACTGAAAATACTAGGATAAACCAAAAAATACCAAACCCACTGCCGTTGAGCCGATTCCAACTCAGTGACCCCCATTGGGTTTCCAAGGCAGTAAATCTTTACTGAAGTAGATTGCCTCATCTTCTTCCTGTGGAGCGGCTGGAGGGTTTGAACCACCAACCTTTTGGTTAGCAGTCAAATGTCTTAGGCACCAGGCCACCAGAGCTCATTGAAGATACTAGACTAGAACTTTCTTACATTTTTTTATACTGAAACTTCAGAAGGTTTATTTTTCACAATTAGTTGACTATAAAGTGCTTTGTATATACTAGGTTTATTAGGTGCACATCGATTGAGTTAAGAGTTTATTTTATTTCACGTTTTCAAGGTTACTTGATATATGCACTGCCGTCGAGTTGGACCCGGCTCATAGCGACCCCTCATTGGGTTTCCAAGGCAATACCACTACGGAAGTAGATTGCCAAACCTTCCTTCCGAGGAGTGGCTGGTGGGGTTGAACCGCTAGCCTTCTGGTTAGCAGTCACATGGCTTAGGCACTATGTGACCAGAGCTCCCAGAGATGGTGTGTATATGTATTTAGAAATACTAAAACCAAACCCACTGCCATTGAGTTGATTCTGACTCATAACCGCCCTATGGGACAGAGATAAATACGAAATCTACAGGTGGAGAGCCAAGTTGCCTATCAGGCAAATTCAAACTTGAGCCCCAACAGATACTGAATATTCATCTTTATACCTGAAGTTCAAGTCTTGAGAGTCAGGCAGACAAGAACTAAGAATTCTCTGCTAATGGGGCTGCCTAATTCTGGGTCTACAACCCTCCAAGACTGTCTTAACTTTTAGCTAAGATTTCACACTTGTGTTTGGATGTTAAAATTGACACATAGCCTAGTCTGCCCTTTGTGATGGCTGATGAAAATTAAGTGAAGTTTTGTGCTTTCCAAGACTTTCTTTTTTTAAATAGAAATTCCCTGTCCCTTGGCTTCTAAAACCTTGGCTCCAGATGTTTTAGAATTTCAGTTTCAGAAAGTTAATCCAAGTGCAAATAACTTCATCATGGAGTTCTCCCAGCAGGGTCAGGAAGCATCCTGTCATCAAATACATTACTAATTCTGCAGCCAATTTTGTAAACACTAAGTGGACTTCTTCAACACTCTAAATAAAAACCCATTGGCTTCAAGTCGATTCTGACTCACGGCAACCCCATGTGCTTCAGAGTAGAACTGCTCACTGTATAGGGTTTTCTTGGTTATGATCTTTTTCGAAGCAGATTGCCAGGCCTTCCCTTGTGTAGCCACTGGGTGGGTTCAAATCATCAACCATTAGGTTAACAGTCTAGATACTGAATAGCAGTAAAGCCAATGTCATTTTAAAGTAAAAATGATGTATCACGTGTTTGAAGTCGATGTTTGTCTCTTGTTAGAGTTGAGTGGACCTGGCTCATAGACCCCTCATTGGGTTTCCAAGGTGGTACCACTATGGAAGTAGATTGCCCAGCCTTCCATCTGAGGAGTGGCTGGTGGGTTTGAACCACCAGCCTTCTGGTTAGCAGTCAGATGGTTTAGGCACTATGCGACCAGACCTCCCGGAGGTTGTATGTATATGTATTTAGAAATACTTAAACTCACCCTGAGTTCCTGGTCTTCCAGAAGGCGGAATTGAAGTTGCGCTGTTTTTACATAACACCTCAGAGCCTCACCTGTGACCCATTTATTTGTACTTGACATGAAGTTCTAAGAAGTGGGATGATTTGGTTTCTGAATCACAGAAAATCTGAAGTAGAACTTAAAACAAGGAGAAGACTGCTGAAGCCAAGTGAGACATGGTTTGAATCAGGTAAAGAAGGGGACAAAAAGCTGGATAAAGTAGGCACAACCTAAAAGCTCTGTGAGGGGACCTGCCCTTGGCCCCTGAAGTGGAAATGTCTGCACTTTCAGGAAAATGGCTACCAGCCTCCTCTCAGCCCCTCAGTCGTGACCCCCTGAAGGGATCTGGGACAAGGACCAGACAACGTGGGCTTACTCCTTTCGTTTGGTTTCCCTGACGTCAGAAAGGGGGGCTGTCTACACTCCTTCACAAAGTCACCTATCTGGGTCGGAGAGGCCTGCCATCTGCCTGTGAGTGGGAGATAAGGGTTTAATTCCGATGTGAAGTCTTAGGAAGTCCATGCAGCATCAAATTGAACTGTTCTTTACTATCAAAGCTCTTATTTTGTTCAGCATTGAGACTCCTGTTTGCTTCTCAGTTGGTTCATAAACTGGAAAAGTCAGGCTTGTATTTTGAGTCCCTAATATAATAACACTCCGTGTACAGCCACTTAGTATAAAGGAGTAGCAGTCAACATACCTCATTAAAACCAGACTTACCTGCCATCGAATTGATTGTGACTCACAGCGACCCCCACTGGCTTCTGAGCCTGTAAATCTTTATGGATGCAGAATGCCCCATCTTTCACAGAGTAGCTGGTGGATTTGAACTAGTGACCTTTTGGTTAGCAGCCAAATGCCTTAACCACTACATCACCAGAGCTCCGTTATATACCTTATTAGGTGTGTTCATAAGCGACCTTGAACCTTCAGCTTGAATGTTGTATAATGTGTTTAAGAAGATAGCTTTAGGGACCAGGTTTGGTGGTCCAATAGAGCCTGGTGGAACCACTGAGACTATGGCCCCTAGCTGCCCTTCAGGTCTGGAATTGAACCCATACCAGTGGTTTCCAGCCAAACAAAAGACAGGCATATGAGTTGAACATTTACCTCAGGTAGATACACTCCTTGGAGAGAACAATCATGGGAGAAAGAAGGGCTGCTTATGCACGGGGAGACAGCTCAGGGGGCAGGAGTGCATGGAGGGATGGACACTGGGAAGAGGTAACTATGGGGAGGAAGTGGGAGGGGAGCTGTTGCATTGTGAGCAACTGTGGTCAATGTCATGAGACAAAGTATTTGTGAACCGCTGTATGGAAAGTAAATTTGCTCTGTAAACCTTCACCCAAATCACAATAAAAAAAAAGAAGACAGCTTTATGTAATACATTTTAGAACGTAGCCTATCTGAATGTGTTGATTCTAACTAAACAAAAGATCCTTATTAATTGGAGAAGGTACCTGTCCCTAATAGCTTTGTACAAGTTGATTTCAATATCAAGGTGCATAAAAAGTCTAAGCATTTTATCCAACAGATTCTATTCTCCATACTTTCTTCTTGGTATTTCTTCTTGACTTTATCATCTCAGCATCATTTTTTTAGACATGCATGATGAAGAACAGTTAATTTGTAAATGTTCATGGTGATTCTATTTTATATCAACTGGCTTCAAGACATTATTTTGCGCAAGTGAAACCATGGAAAGAGTAAATGTGAGAAACAGCAGAACTGTTTAGTCTATTATTCATTTTTTAATGCATTTTATCAAAATATAATTTAGGTACAGTGAAATATACAAAACTAAAGTGACATGGGTCAATGCATTTTTTTTCAGTGTTCCCTTCCTTTCCCTCCC